CACAAACACACACATACACACACACACACGCACACACACACACACATACACATACACATACACACATATATACACACACACACACACACACACACACACAACACGGCAGGCTTTCTCTCACTTGATTCTAAGCCACTTCTGAGAAGTGCAGGCTCTTCATCTTCATTCACTGGATTAGTGAGTCCTCAATAATTGTGGTGACATGCTTGTTTTGTTTGTATCAGTAATCACATTTTATAGCTGATCATTTAATTATAATGAAATTAAAGTTGGAAACAGGACTACGAAAACATCGTTCTCTTTTAAATAACCAACCAACCGATAGTGCACGCTCAAGAATGACACTGAAGCTATCATCAGCATGATCCTGAAATTTTTGAAAGCAAAGAGGAGACCTTCGTTCCATTTTCACTACGGTTTAAACATGAATTCGAACAGGAACTGACAGACAGAGGGACCGATTTCAGTATGAATCATTCTCACGAATGGATGACTTCATCATTTTGACCTTGATAGCCGATTTATTGGCAAGTACTTCAAATTATTCACTGACAGTACTAACTATTGTTTGATGGAAGATGATCCCATAATCAAGTATGGGGTCATCTTCCACTTCCACTTCTGTGTGTTCTGATCTACTTCCAGCACGTTAAACCGGCAGTGGTGAACCGGATTTCGGACTTCGTAAATATTCAAGTGGGATCAACTTGAAGTGGCTTATTAACTAATCGGTGTTTTTCTAATTTGTAGTCTATTTCTTGGCATCCCGCACGTTGTTCCATTTCGTTTCAGTTTGATTTCTTAAAGGTCATTATTAAAACGTGTAAACTCTCAATTTATTCTTTAATTCATTTTCATAACTTGTATTAACAACCGAATTATTCGGTAATGTAAACATTTAAAGCATTCATCGAAATCATTGTAATTTGTGTTAAACAATTCACAAAATGCGGACCGAAGCTTAATTGTTGAAACGTTCTGCTGGTATGTTAGAAGTCCTTCGTTGTTTCACATTTGCTCAAATGAAATCAATGAAGCCAATGAATCAATGAAATCAATGCATTGCTCAAATGAATCAAATCCTCCCTTCCAACTCTAATTATTATCTTTTAATAAAGATTGATGCACTCTGAGATGTTACACTGCATATCACGCTTGATAACACCGCTTTGTCAATCTCGTTGCAAAAACGACTGATAGGTAGGCATGAATGAAACACGGATAAGTAAGAACTGAAATATCTCTACAGCGTATCCAAATCGAATATGCTCCATTAAAGCGGTTCACTGCTTCTTTTGAAAAATTCATTGCTTCATGTTTTTCAAATTCCTCTGATTAAATATCACTGAACGGTACTTTCTCCTCGAACATTATCAGCAATACAATCCAATTTTTCTTCATCACAGCGCTTTCATTTAACAGCAATCTTTGATCATAAATTTTTATTTGAACGCCTTGAGCGCCATTAGAACGTGCATGCGTAGTTATTCTTGCTTGAATGCATGCTTGCTGTTTACAATAACCACCGTGATTTTTTCTCATTATTAGTTCTAAAGTGATTAAACTCTATTTATTATGAACACTTATCAGTAACACAGAGGTGATGGTCGTTGGAAAACGAGGCTAGCGACAAAATGATTAATTTTACTCATTAATGATTTTCATTTTTTTTTTTTTTTTGGTAAGTTGGTACTTCAATTTCAAATTTGTAATGTCCGTGAAACTGTTTCGTATTTACATTTTATAGCGCTTGTTAATAGCATTAACGCGATGATAAATTACGGACACCTTTATTGATCAAGAAACTACCCAAATGAAAATTGAGATTGGAAGGGTGCTCCAGAATTGGACGAAACCTATTTTTATAACATAGTAAAAGAAAAGTATCCTTCATGATAATGTACTCATCGTTACTACTAACGAAATTAAATTTGGAAAGCATAAACATTTTGATTTTGTTGGCTGTTTTGATTAGCTACTGTTACAGACTTGTAAAGGTTTTTAATTCAGTAGTTGACAGATGCTGGATTTGTCTTGTGGATTTATGTATAGTTTCCATTTTCGTTCGGAAATTCTTTATTTGTATGCTAGGTTAGTTATATGTCTTAGAATTTGTCTACCTATATGATAGCCTGGATTTTGTGTCCATGCCCTTTCAGCAATCTTACATTGCTTGCTATAGCTTACTTCAATCTAAATGACTGAGTTTTATTTTTCGAAAACTGATAAAAAGTGAGCTTGATCATTTCGTAGCGAGTCGATACAAAGGAGGCAAAGAGACGGATGATCAAGCAAGTATTGTTTTGTGATGTATAGTAACTGCTTTTTTTTTAAAGTTTCATTTTCCAAAGCTGTTGTGCCTTACGTGAGGTTATTTTAGGCACCGAAAGACATTCATCAGTTATGTCATTGACTTCACTGTATCAATCGTTTCCTGTGTTTTTCTTCATCGTAAATGAAAGCTCTGTTCGAATAGCTGGCAGCCCTCATTTTGATAAAAGAATAGTGCTTTCAGGTGGTGCAAATAACAACAGCGTACTTGAAGTTTCGGATGGTAGTTTTAAATTCATGTTTTCGGATCTTCATAAGATTAGGGAATGGATAGTTCAAAAATGAAATGGAATGGTAAATATTAATCGCATATAAAAATTATTTTTTTAGTGACTAGGAGAATTAGAAATTTCCTCAGCAATTTAATAAATGTTTTAACAATCAGTCTTTAAACCGATTTTAATTTAGGTATAACAATAAAGCGGGTGCATCGAGATGTGGGACTACTGAGCACGCCATTTGTCGGCGCTTTTGTAACTGGCATCATTGGTGAATTGTTGTGACTTTTCTCAAATTCTTTTCAGTTGAAATTGAAGATGAATGTTGAAAAACGACATTCTGGAAAACAAATATAAAGCAAATTAGCGGGAGGGTTGGGGACTTTCACAATTTGAAAAGGGGTTTGAAATTACTTACTCAAAGGTAAGCTTAGGACGTGAGAAGAGACACGTACGCGTGAAGAAGGATGCGGAGTCAGTAATTGAGGCCGTTCTGCATGGCATCATTGGTACGCTTGTTATCAGTTTTCATAGTGGTTGCTGTAAATGAAAATATCTATGAAGTATGATGTATACGGGAAGAAAGACAAAATTGTCATCCCATGTTGATAGGAATTTCTCTAAATTACACTTCGCTTTAAAACGGTACGATCTCTTCTCATAAGTAATGCAGAAGAGGCTTCCGACTTGCGATTACAGAAGTTATAACTGATATTGCCATCCTTATTGTATGATGAAGACCAGCATCTCTTGAATTTAGAAACGAAGAAGTGCCAAGATCTCCTAACTTGAAAATTTTGGTCTTGTGGCACGAAAAATTATTTTCGGACTCAAAAACAAAATGTAAATTTTGTGAACACTGTGTATCTTCCACTTTATTTTGCTCAGTTTATTTTCTTTTGTATCAAGTTCTGGGAAACAGCTGGCATTTTTATTCAGAAAAAAGGTTGATTTGAGGAATGACAACTAAAGCAGTCTCGGATTTGACGACTTATCATCCATACCCTTCGGATGGTGGTTGTAAATGGTTTGGAACAGCTCCATTTTGTAATGGACACTGTCAAGCAGAATATGACTACATTCGGAACAGCAATGGACGTTGCAGTAATTGGTGGTTTGCTGGGATATGTAAACCGGATCCAAGTTTCGGCGAATCATGTAGTACTATTTTAGGTGGAAATTTTAAAAAACGTTTTTGCTGCAAGTAAGTTTAGTTCCGTTACAAAAGCAAAATTTTAATTTGATGACACTTTAACATCCAGTGCTCTCTAAACATTAACAGTATGTTTCATTTGATTTTCGAAATTTCTACTTATTACATATTGATAATTCCATTTTATCACATCTGTCATACCAAAACTCTATAAAATAATTAAATAGCAACTTATGATCGTTTTATTTATTTGTTGTTTTAATTCAGAAATCGAATTCCCCAGCTTTAGGAGTGATCCATCCGAATGTACATGGAGTGGTCGCTGGATGAGTGCATTTACCGCACACAATATTTACTGCCGATACGATAATCATGGTCATTGTGGTCATCTGGACTGTTCTATAAATCACTTCAATCATCGAGTAATTTCCTTATTATGTTCCAAACGATTCCCTTTCTTTTTTTTTATTTTTTTCATCTTTATTTCTTATTCATTTTTTTCTCGGGTCTTCATTCTTTCTCCGTTTTCTTGTAATCAAAGATTTTTCTAATTTCGAAAAAATTTTTCATACTTGTTTATTCATTAAATGAACGTGGTTTCTCTTTGGACTGATAATTTCTTTTGATTTATGCGTTAAATTGTTTGAAAAAGTTGAATGTGAAATTCTCTTGTGCATTGGCATCATTTTAGGCTCAAAATTCAACTGAAATTAATGGCGATCGTTGTGATCGGATTTCACTGTTTGGTTTGAAGGGTAAGGCAACATGTGGTTATATTGCTTGGTTTGATGATAATGGAACTCTTGTTGATAGCTGGTATAAAAGCAAATGAGATATATCCTATTATTAATAACTGTATATCCATATCGAATGTTTATTTTATGCATTGCCTGATAAAACTTTTATTGTTTGTTACACTAATCCAAAATATATTGACGAGTAGTCATCTACTTACCTTATGCATATCTGCATTAATGCCATTGTCATTATTTAAATGACTAATACGATAAGATATTGTTTCGAAGTTAGTAAAGATATGGATAACTTTTATATTTATAGTCTTTAATCTTGTATTCATTTAATGAATAAAACGTCAGCAGCGAATAGGACCAATGTTGTTTTGTTTTGTTTTTTGATGTGAATGTTTTTATTGCATTTTGTGTATTTTGTTTAATTTATCAGTTTCTTAGTTGCTAAGGAATAAATTTGATTGCAATTTACAGTGTTTAGATGTCCTAATTTTCTATGCAAATCTTCTATCCGTGATGTTTTGTAACTTTAGAAAAACTGTTGATGATTAATGATAAAACGTTGCGAGATAAAGAAACTTATGCAGACCAGTACTTGTTGTTCGGGAAAACTAAGTCTAAACAGTGGTATTTCATCAATAATGAATAAATTTCCGAATAGCTTTAACTTATCCGAGTAAGATCTTTAGAATTAAATCCAAACGTAAAATAAGATTGAGAATTAACGCTGGTAGGTTATTGTCAAAAAACACGGAAAGCTCAAACACTAAATCTTTAATTGCGGACAGGGAATTCCAGTACTTGGAATCAAAAAGTTGATATAAAGTGATAATGCAGATGCAATAAAAAGATTTATCATTTTTGAAGTTTATTCCAGATCTACGAAATCTTTTTCTAGAAGAATTCTGCATTATTTAGCCAAACAGTTTATAGAAATATTTTATTAAATCCCTAACAATTTCGCTGTGAAGTGAAGCCTGATTAAAATTCTTAAGTTAAAATTTTCTTCGAATTAAAAAAGTAATTGTTGTATTTTGTTACAGTGTCGCTTAATTCGCAGAAACGATAGTATGAGAATTTACATTTCATTCTGGCAATTCTGTCAATTATACATAACATTTCGAGTTAAGTAAACAACTATAAAACACGAATGATTACAACAAAATAATCAATGCTTTGTTGGTGCAATGAAAATACTGAATCGAAAGTAAAAGAGAAGTTTCGTTCTGTCGTGAACGATGTCCATATCGTACTGATAAACGAAGATCCTATTTCTTTTTTTTTGAATTAATGAAATAGCATCCAAGAGAATGGGTACAAGGCTAAATCTACTGATGTTTTTTTAAAAGATTTTCGAATTTCAAGGATTATGAAAAATCAATAATGCGTTAAATCGTTTAATAAATTTGTTTTGAAAAATCTTGGTGGCTGTTTAAAAAAGCAACACAGGGCGGATGGGCTAAAAACCATTGCTAAGAATCATATTCAGCGATGTGTTACCGTAAATTAAAAAGGTAGTCAATATTTAAACAATTTTTTCTTCATCGGTTTGAATAATTCTTGGATGGAATTCATTTTTTTTAGTTGCAAGTCACATGTCAATGTATTAATAGAAAACTTATGCATCAACTTTTAGCCGGTTGAATTTGTATGTTCATTGAAGTTTAATTAGTTATTTTTAGATCCCAAATCTAAACTGAAGTTTAGATCTGTCTGCTTCCTTCCAACTAAATTTCTGCTATGACTTTTCCACTGATTGAAAAGTGATGATGATGACAGCAAGTTACTGGTCTTAATTTAATGATATATTTTGTGGAAAATAGTCCAAAATCAATACATTGTTGATGTGGGAAGCATTGCTCCAACTTAGAAAATCATATGTTTAATTTGGAAGATTTCATTTCACAATGATGGCTTGAAGAATACCACACTTTGTAACTATCACTTCTAAGCCATATATTGGAATGAAATGGACGCCAATGATTTAAGTTGTTATTCCATAAGGCGATTTCGAAATTAGGTGATTTTGTAGGGGGTCCGAGCATATATTACTATTGCTTAGCACTTATTGTTGAAGAAAATCCCGAATTCAAATTTAAGATTTCCACTGAAATAAAATAACAAACCTTTAAATTAGCAAGCAATGCTTAATTATTACACGCTCAGAATGAAGCAATGAAATGCAGATAATGAATTTTGGGAATACAATGGAAATCCGGCAACACCAGTTAATGATGATAAATCCATAACTCGCTTTAGTTCTATTGAAATCAATAAAAAAATTCACAATCCCAATACCCGTCAAGCAAGCAGTAGCAAATCTTAATTCATTAACAAATCTCCTCTTGTTTGCAATCTTTTGAGCAAAACAAATTTTTATTCTATTGTAGGCTAAAGAAGTATGCGACCTATGTTTTACCATCGAATTAATTTTGAGAATGACTACGTGTCGTCAGCAGATACTTCAAATGAAAACTTGTATCGTTTTAACAAATTTAATGATAATACTTGAATCAGAAGTGCATATAACTTTAGCAAACGTTATCCACTGTTTGTTTGGAATACGTTGCCTTTATGTTTGAGCTTTCATCAGTTTTCAAAACCAGACTTCACTTACCAATTGACACCAGTTTACATCTGAATTTGAATGAACTACTCTTCTTTGCTCTTAAGTACGAAGTGTCAAACGTAAGTTAGACATGTAGTCGGATATAGCTTTAAAACTTAGTTCCGAAATTGTTTCAGCTATACTTCGTATTCGTGAGGATTAACTTCATTCGGATAGATCAAAACTCCATGCAGTAGGCTTTTTCTCGCAAATATTTCAAGACTTACGTAATGGGCAACTAGTTTTGCACCTTGAAACTTTAATTTTTTCTCATAGCTCTTTTAAATAAATATTAGTTTCCCTAGTTTGCATTTATTTTATTCCGGTAACTAGTAATTCTCAAATCTAACACTCCAGACATGCTTTCTAACACTTTCACTCTAGCACTTCTACTGTACTACATTAGTATGTAGAGCATTTATTTATTTAAAAAGAAAGAGTGTAAACATACTTTTCATTTGTAAGTAATTGCTACACAACGAACAAGGATTATGCAGTAAAAAGTTTAATATTTCCTTACCTAATGACATTATAATTCAACAGGAACTGAGAGTTGACGTTCAAAGATCGAAAAGACTCGTTCAGATGAAATATGGCAAAAATAGAACTGTTTTTAATGTGCACAGTGTTAAAATCCTAAAAACGTGAAGCAACGAAAATTTTCACAAACAGAAAATTTTAGAATGCCAAAATATGATAATGACTATAAATAAACAAATGACTCGGAACTTCGACAAAGATATCCCGTATACATAATAATGCAGCTTCAATAGTTATATTGATGCACAAATTGATATGATTAATTGAAACCTATTTTTTAACCGTAAAATTGTTAAAAATAACTGACATCACCTGTAAGACACTAAAAAGACTTCTATGAATTTCATAAATTGAACACTAACAATGTTACGGTTGAAAATCTTCAAAAGTGCACATATAATCACAAAGCATGTAGATTTCGGAGAACATCAGGTCAGTGAAGAAGTCATAGCTTACGTAATATCTCGAGAAGAAGAGGCAAGATGACAGCATGAAAAATTACAAAAAAAGCCATAATCACGATTAGTTGCTGTTGTGTTATGGCCATACTAGATCTCCTCTCAAAGTTTGTTTCGAAACGCTGTAAGAATTGCACAGTACGATCCAGAGTGTCCTTTAAAAAATGACTATGAAAGCTTTTCAACAAGGATAAACTACAAAACCAACATCGTGAAAATTCTGAACTATAATGATTTTTTTTGGAAATGTAAAGGTCAAATTTTATTCCTCATTCGAAGATTTTTAAATAAATAAAGCGTAATTCCTATTACGGGAAGTTGTGGGCTTTAAAGATTCAGAAGTTTAGGTTTAGAGAAATATGAAAGCCGAATAATTAAACATGCAGAAAGGTTGGGAGACTCAAAAAAGTCGAAGAAAAAAAAGCTTCACCTGTACTTGTTGTATGCGATCAGAATCTTGTGTAAGTTGTGGCCTTTTCTTGCGATATTGCTTACCTATAAAATTAAAATACAGGGAGATTCCGAAAATTCTTCGTAGAATATGAACTAAAGAGAAAACAGCAGATTAAAAGTCGCGATAACACAATGCATTTTCTAGAAAAATTAAGGAAAGAATCTGCAACTGCACTTGCTTCAAAAATTTCCCTGATGATTTCGACGAGTTTTGCGGAACTATTTCATTATAAAGATTCGGAGAGTCATTCCATCCACAGTTAAAAAAGTAACATACTTCCAAGTGGGTCAGAATCCTCAGACTGTTCTTGCTGCACTGAAATTGAACTCGGCGGTGAAGCAGATCGTTCTTTGGTTCCATGTTTAGTTTTTGTTCGTATCACATAACCATGCTCAATTTGACGAATATCATCATTTTCATCCCATGCTTGATAACTATAATGAAGATTTACCTTCAAAAGATGTGTTACGTTTTGTCGGCAGACAAAAGGTACTAATATCAAGCATAAAGTTGATAAAAAAACCACCAAAATCAAGTTCCAAGCCTTTATTCCTGATACAAGTCACTAAAAAGACAGCTGCATAAATGTGTCTGCAAATTTGATATTAATATTGTAACGTGTAATTTAAGAATTATTATCCCTTCATAGACAATTCTTAAATTGCAGAAACTATGACATCACCGCATTTACATATTACGAGCTCACATCAACTTCCGATTTTTTCAACTGCAGTTGACATGTAACGTTTCGGGACTATATTTGAAATATTACCCACAAGATTGTACTGGAAGAAACAACACTGCATGGTTTATAGAAAGTTGAACAAATAAGCGAATTACTAACTCAGCATGTATGTATTCGTAATTTTTCGACAGCAAATCCTGCTTGAACCATTTAGGTTTGTAGTGTATTCCAGATTTGGCGCGAGTGCGTTGTTCATCCTCTAATTTACTTTTTTCTTCTGTTGCAGCTTTCTGATTATCTTGAGCTATCGCTTCACTTACTTTCAACCATAACCTTAATTGGAAAGTAATAACTCCGACTCTCATTAGCCATACTACTCACCAAGTCGAGGATTAAAAACTTCTAGGATGGAAAAAATAAGCACTTCTTTGATTCCCATTCACCCTGCTCTTCCAAAAGAACTTCGTAACGTTTAAGTCGTTTTGCAATTACATCAGGTGTTGGTGACCATAAAAGTGTTTTCATATCCTGCAAGAGAAATGATGAAAAATTTACGATTTTCGAATAAATATGTCAAGATCATTTACATCTGCATATGAGTCGCTGTAATATTATAATTTAAGTATAATTCTATTTCATCTTTAGCACTGTTGCAACAAAAGTCCAAATGTTTTTGGCAATGGTATAACATCCTCTAAAGACACAAAAGCTTTAAAGATGTTGCAAGACAGGGGCAAACTTGACGTCATATTTCCTCCAATAAATGTGAAACTAATGACGCTGCTTCAGAAGACCAATCTTTACTCTTTCATTTATATAAATTTCGCCATCCCAAGCTCCTTCAATATGCGCCACCGATTCCTTTTTACATTTGATATCTCCCGTAATAAGATTTACTGTTCCTCCAATGAATGGCTTTAATTTGAAATCAAGTTCGCATACATAATCGGTACGATTGCACTCTATTCTTACCTTAAATGAGCTATCTTTTAGTATGATTACTTCTTTGTTGAAAACAACTACTTGTTTTATAAATATATTTAAAGAAATTTCATGCCCAAATCAGGGCTCTCATATCGTTTTAAAAGCCTTAAACTCACATACTACCCACCTAGTCACTTTCATTCTGGATTCAGATTATTAAAAATAGCATGCTGATATATAGAAAATGAGAAGAGATTCACCTGACCACCGTATTCCATTGATAGTGTTCCAATCATGATACCCTTACAGTTAGCATATGGAAGGGTAGCAGTATATGTTTCACCTCGTTGCAAAAGCGTTATTCGTACGTCACCAATCATCATAGCCGATAAACTGTTCCCGTAATATTTACTTTTTGCCAATATTGTACCCGATATATTGAAACCTGCTTTTCGATTTGTAAGAAAAAGGGCCGAAACTGGTGGATGATGGGAGACCTGGAGTGAAGCACATTTCAGGCAAAAATGGATTTCTATGAATAAGATAATTCTACTTTAATTAATTGACATTTGCATTAAATTTGATCTTTAAACAATTCAACAGTGTCTTCCTCGAGAGCCCAGATAATTTTTTAATTGAAAATCGATGGAGGTTAATAAATTTATTAGAGGCGCACAAAACATCCATTTATGAATCATTAAAATAAGATCAAAACAAAAAATTGTATAAAATGATTCTGCTTTACAGCTCAAAAAATATCTGGAAAAGAGCACTCAGAAAGTGTAGCCAAAATCGGAAAAGTAACCTGTTCAGCAATATAGTACGATGTCGAATTGTCGGGGTGTTCCCACTTACATCGAAATGTTTCCCCTAATATCGGATTGTATGGTTTCTTCAAACCTTTTGGTTTCTTGTAAAATCCGCTCAAATAAAATTTTACAATCGTCTTCATTCTTTGTAAGGGATCATCCTGAGCAGTAGCTCTAGAATGAAATTCAGAATGAAATTAAGAAAAAAGAGGTCAGGAACTATAGTATTTGAAACTTTTCATAGAAATTAGATAAGGCAAAAGGAAAAAGTAAGCACCATTGACCACCTTATCACTCTTTTTATGAACCAGATGTCACTTCTTGTTATCTTTGATGAAAAGATGTCAGAAAACTTGCTCGGCAATGACATATGAGTGGTAATAGAAATCTGCAAGCTTTTCGAGGAAGGAACGCGGCTCCAAAATGAATGTGGGCAAAGTAACTTTTGAAAGATCCATTCCAGGTCGTACTTGTTTCAGTAAACTCCATACAAGACTTTTGTTTTCATCAGCAAGATCTTCAATTTGTACTGTTGGACCAAACTAAATAAAATCTTAGCAATTAAAACTTGCACAACAGTGATTCCAAATTCCTCTTTCAGAATCTTATTTTTTATTTTTTATAAATCAGAATCACTTCAAATTTAAGTTACAATTTTTCAACAAAATTGATAACACTGAAATAACACGTTAAAAAGTAGACCTGCTCTGGATCTGATTGAATGTATGAGCTTTCTTCTTCATAGTCAGTAGTTCTATCATCACTATCTGATGCTACCCGATCAATATCATCATTCAGACCTTCATTTAAAAAAAGCCTCAATTAATTTAGTGAGCATAAAAATTACGAAATTGAAAGTGCTTAGTCAAGACACCATACTAATATTTCGCATAGTCTAATGTTATAAGACCAAATGTGATTAATGTTTCAAACAAAGCCTAACAATTACAATTACGAAAAAACAAAAGGACAAACTTCCTAACCATCAAAGTGCTTTTCCGCCTCAACTTCGTTGAATTCTCGAGAACTTTCAACGGTATCGTTACAAGAAATATCACCAAAGGTATTCTGTTCATCGATGGTTGTTTCTTCTCCTTTCTGATCACAGTCAGAAAGCTAAATTTTCAACAAGAGATATATTTTCTGTCACACATTTTCGAAATATACATTAAATTGAATAGCTGAACCGTCAAATATGCAGTAGACTTGAATAAAAAATCAAAGACTTGCTTTACACATGGTTCTCATTAAGAGACCACTGCAACGAAGAGTCAAATGCAAAGCATCCATCCAACAGCCGCCTGCCTAAATGCAGAAACAAATACATTAAAATGGAATTTTAATTTCTCCGTGAAATCGATCGATCGAGGTCCAGAAGACATTTAAGTTTTAGAATTTCAATCAAGATAAATCTGCATCAAAAATCAAACTAATTCATAAAGAAAAGATAAGTTATGGAATCATAACGTTCAGGACAGATCCAGCGTAAAACAGATGACCTATTATTACCTGCTCAGATGATGCTCGACAAATCAGATAAGTAGTAGGTAAAGGCTGAATTGTAACGATACCATGATTTTCTCCCAACGGTCCACGCGTTGCCCATATACTCTGATCCATTGGATGGAACAGTTTAAAGCAAAATCCATCCTTTTTCGACGGTCTTTCGATTAGTTCACAGTTGTTCAACAGAACTGTACCAATCCAGTGACCCGGCTTCAAAAGCAATACAAATTTGGCATAGAATGGTGGTGGAGAATAGAAAAAAGAAAGAAAAAACTTTTCACTGTGTTACTTGATCTTACCTTAATAAAAATACTAGACTGACTCTTACAGTGGTAATTAGGGCTGAAGACACTCCCTCTTTTTCCAATTATTTGTCAATGAGATTGATCAATAATAACAAAATAAATATGACCGATAAGATGTTCACCTTATCAATTTTATTGCTTTTATAAATAAGCAGTAAACCCGGCTTCAGTATGCAAAAATACCGATTCCATTTTCTTAAAGTTCCACGAACTTTTAGCCAGTCAGCCATAACGACAGTTGTCGGATCATGCAAAGCTGTAAGCAATTCTCGTGTAACTCGTTTTTTCTCATCACGGTATTCTCGTTTTTGCTTCTAAAAAGTTCAAATCAGTTCGATTTTCTAGTTCTACATTTAAAGCTGAAATTTATAATTTTGTGTGCCCCAAAACTCCTTCAAAAAAGTTCGCTTTACCGAACTAAAGGTTGACATTTGGGTTACCCTTTACATGCTGTTGGATGACATCGGTTCAACTTGAATGCATTATTCCATAGTTTCTTGAATACCTTGAATACCAAAGGGTCAAAGTAAACCAGGGATAATTACGGGAAAAACTTCTTTTTTAAAGAAATAAGGCTGGCTTTTTCAGAACCTTATTTATTTGTCTGACCCGCTTAAGACGGACTAAAATCCAGATCGGTCGTTGCAGACTAATTATAATTATTAAGGAGAAGCCAACTCCCAAGCTGTACAAAACCAGCTTTAATAACGCGGTACAAACTTTGTTGAGAAAAACAGAATTTTATTAGAAGCAAAAATTCAAAACTATATAACACTTTGGCTGTTTCTTCTTGCAGATGATGGATATTTCAAAGTAAGAAAAAAATTATTTGATTGAAGAATGCAACCAACTGTGCGGCATCAATTCTGATAAATATCTAAGCCATCAAAGTGATATGTGTTGTATAAAGGACAAGGTAGAAATAGTAGGCCCAACTTTTTAAATTTGAAATCCGAAAAATGAAACCTTCAAGCTAATTTTTCGATCATCAGCATTCTCATCATTATTGACTGCGTTGGATGACCTTTGTTCCAAATGTAATGATGGTTCGGCTGGGCTCAAATTCGTCATGACCATATTAGATACAGTGCTTCTTCAGCCATTTTTATCCATTATTCATTATGTGCTGATCTGTCGTCACTTTAGTGCCTAAAAACGTTCCATTATCTTGATATCCGAAATAAATCAGCTATAATACATAGAAATTATGGAGGCACAGACGACATATAAAAGATGACAGAAGACGAGCAAATCAAGACTTCACGTTCAGCAAAAACTACTGCTACCTACCGTAAATATGAATTCATGCACATAATTCATACCTATATTACAATGTATTTACTAGGTACACACACACGCACGCAGACACACACACACACATACACACACACACACACATACACACACACACACAATACACATAGATAAGCATACCAATGACACATAGGGAAGCAGTGTATTTGGTGTGTTATGTGTGTGTGTTTGTGTTGTGTGTGTGTGTGTGTGTATGTGTGTGTGTGTGTGTATGTGTGTGTATGTGTGTGTGTGTGTGTGTGTGTGTGTTTGTGTGTGTATGTGTGGTTGTTGAGTGGAAAGCGAGGACACTTAGGCGGTTGTCTTTGCAAGTATTGCGTGCAGAGTTTCATTGACCCTAAAGTTAACAACATAGTGAGAGGATGTTAATGTGAGATAGTCCCGAGAAGGAGTGCACTCAACTAGGAATGCACTCTGAATTAAATATGTCATATATTTAAGGTTTGCTGGTCAGGAAAGTGCTAAGCAATATCACTTGAATGGGTGATGTTTGAATGAATAGCAAGCACATTTTGTGATGTGAAAGGAGAATGAAAAAATGACACGTTTCTGAATCAGACTGAAAACATTATGAGTGATGAATGAAGCCTTCTAGAAAATGTAAGATTTTATGGCACGTCTAAAGTGGAAAATTTGTATTTTTTTGGAAGTATTATGCGCAATGAGATACAAAAATTGCAAGATCTTTTTATTTCCACCTCAAACTTGGGTAATTAAACCGTTAGATAAAAGTAACAATATTAACATCGCATAATTATTAAGAATTACAAACACAAATCAACGCGTAAAATTAAGCTCAAAAACGTCGCAACAAGATGAACTCCAAAGACACCAATCTGAAGGATAAAAGAAAGGAAGAATGTTATCCTTCTGTGTGCACGGTTTATATATATCCTTATGTAATGGGATTTCTTTTACATTCTTTTTTATTTGCATAACAGTTGAAAACTTAAATTCTAAGCAGCAATTCCGAAGATAAAAAGCTCAAAAAGCATAAAATTTTGCAAGTGTAGTTATGAAGTAATGAAAATGTGCTAATTTCTGATGTCAAATAAGTAACAAGACCGACTGTTCGGATTGGTTATCTCAGAACGTGAGCGTTAATGAGCAATGACCAGACTCATGTGGACCTATGTGCCCTTATATTTACTATGTAAGTATCAGTTAATATATGTTTGGAACTGACACTGCGCAAAATTTTTTCCACAGCTTTTCGCGAAAATTCGAAAAAAAACTTTGTTTGCTCATCTCACCATATATTTACACTTTAACAGCCGCTGAATAATGTCGGGTCAAATCTAATAATAAACTGGGGCACATCCGTTTGTTGTGGATTATGAAGTGTACTACCGTGTTCGAAATGATTACTTCATATCCCAAAAAGTTCTTTCCAAGTATTTCAATATTTTCCGTCAACTTGACCTGCTAGCAGTGGCCCAAGTTAGATTTGCGACAGATTATGTGCAGTAGTTTAAATCATGTCTTCTTAATTATTTACCTTTTGATCTAGTCCAAACTTCACTTCTTGCTAGATTTTAAATATATTCAAGTGCCAGGGAGACAATTTAATTACTTTGAGTTCTGATCTTTCTCTTTCTAAGGTAATAGTGGTATCAATGCCAATATCGGTAAAACTAAATAAGTAAAAATTAATAAAGACTTTAGTTCGGTCGAAATTTATTGCAAACATTTCATGGATCAAAAAATGTCACCAGAAAAGATCGAATTATCAGAAAGCTGAGATGCGATAGCGATGTAGACAGAACTGTTTCATTTTCATCATTTCCTAACTTACTGAGTAACTATGCACTATTTATGAATAAAACTAATCGTTGCTAGGCTGAGAATGAATCATTACACCAAATTAGTTCACCAGTGCTGTGGTTTTTGCTAAAAGCTTCTAGGGCTTCATTTCCGTCGTGCTCCGCGTCGAAAAAATCGAAATATTTTTATAATATAAAAATATGTCGAGATAATCAAAGTGTTTTCGTATCATGGAAATATTTCGGGATAATTAAAGTAAATTCACAAAATAGAAATATGTAGTATGAGGTTATTTTACC